TTGCCAGCAGCAGAACAAAGGCTGCAGGCATGGGGAAGGAATTCTGCTCTGGAATTGTGAATTAGGGCTTTCTGGAGAAGCCATGGCTTTGAGCAACATGGGGATTAGATTGCAGCATTATAAATAACATCTCCTGGGAGTTCACATCCTGCACAGGCTGCACACCCAGAAGGTTCCTGCAGGTATTTCTTCTAAAGAGAAAATTGCTGCTCAGGGTGTAGGTGTGACCTCAGCGTGGTGCTGTCCTAGGGTGGGTGAGCTCATTTGTGGAGAGGCCTTGAGGAGCAAGTGCTGCATAAAGAGATGAGTGGGTGCATCATCCCTCAGGTTCCTGTGGCCTCAGAAGGGAGAACTCTCCAGGGAAACAGTGAGGGGTGCTGCTCACATTAGCTCAGAACTGGCCAAGTGCCACCCTCACATGGGATTAAGGCAGAAGATCCTGGAAAATTCCCAAACCTGCCTGGGAGTGTCCCATGTGTGCTTGGCTCACCTGTGTGTTCCTCAAGCCTCCGCTGGCCCTGGTTCTGGGCTCCAGTGGTTTCTATCACATCACCTAAAGGAGAATGTTCTGGATACAATTGTCTTTTTCCCAGCAGTGCTGAAACTATTTACTTTTGGATCCTTGGGTTTCAATAGCTTAGTAGAAAATTTCCTGAGACAGTCTGCTCTTTTTGATGTTGAAACCTGCTGATTTGCCTCTGACAGATGAAGATTACTATGAAGATGATGAAGAGGATGATCCAGATGCATTAAAGGACCCTCTTTACCAAATAGATCTCCAGGTGATGCTCTAGAATGAGGGGTTTTATCAGATTCAATCATTCTCTATAACCTTTAATTTTTTAAATGTTGTACTTTAACAAATAGGTAAGCACTGGAAACAGCAGTTGTTGTCATCCAGAAGGCACTCTGTTAATTGAAATTACTTTGGAAAGGGCCAGATGTCCTAAGAACTTCTGGAGCTATTTTTCCTTATCATTAATATCTATAATGTGGAAATGTGAATGAACAAAACTCTTTGAACAGAGGGAGATGAGACTTTTCCACCTGTGAGCTTCACAGCTACGGGCAGAAGTCAGGAGTAGGTTGGAGAGTGAACATGACAGAATTTCATACTCCACTTGGAGATGCTCCCACCAGTCAGCCCCTGTGTTACCCTTTGCTCCTGCTTTCCCCACCACCTGCAGCTGTTGATGGGCCCTTCCATCTGCTCCCACCCTTTTCCTCTGCTCCAGCCCTTCCCTCTGATTCCACTCCTCCTCCTGCACGCTCCTTTCTGTTCCCTCCAATCCTGGGGTGTTACTTGGGTTACTCGGTTGGGCTGTGTGTCCTGCAGGTGGAAGCAGCAGGGTTTCCCAGGAGGGTGGTGCTGACAGGCTGTTTCTGTCCCTCCCAGGCCTATCTCACCGATTTCCTGTGCCAGTTTGCACAGCAGCCCTGCTATGCCATGTTCTCTGACCACCTCAACGACAACGAGAAGCGAGTGCTGCAGGCCATCGGGATATAGAGCCACTCCAGAGACCACACCTGCCAGATCTGAGCAACAGGTTATTTTTGGCTAATTCCACGTTTTATGATAGGACATAAAACATTTTCCAGTGTCTGCCTGCCTTGTTCCAGGTCGACAATGGCCTCCTTGTTTTGAGCCTCATCTTAACGCACATCTAAGGATGCTAAGGAGAGGAATCCTGAGAAAGCAGCAAGGACATTGCACATGGGTCTCACCACAGGAGCACTTTCATTTTCCACAGTAACTTTCCAGGAAGTTCTTAAAGATAAAAAATAATGTTTCCTTAATAATTTTAAAAGGAAATGTCTCTACCTGTGAAGAGGCACTTTTAGTTTCCCACAGCACAGCTGGACAGAGAAAGGAGCCGGGTCACTTACGGATTGCCTGAGAAGTGGGAAGGTTGTTCCTCCTGGCTGTTGTTCCTCCTCACGTAACACAGGGTAAATATCTTGATCCTACAACATGACTTCTTTTATAGAACCACAGACTCTTTTCAGAGCTGCCTGGATGGGATGGAGCCAGTTCAGAGGAGTTTGGAGGGAAGCTGAGACAATGAACCTGAGTGCGTTTCTTCTTTCCTGCTGTGGATGGGGCTCTGCTGCTCACATCTCCCATGGGAGCACTTCTTCACTAACACTTGTTGTGCACATGCTCAGAGGAAGCCATCACTTACATTTCTGTTCCTGTGGCATGTGGCTATGAAAGACTGGTTTTCTGGAACACAAGGAGCCACAATTTTTAGGGGAAAAAAAAAGAACTGATTGTATTTAACAGATTTGCTCCATGACAGCCACTCTGAACTACTTTGCTTTTTTCACACTCCTGTGTGTATTTTTATAGAGTGGTAAAATAACATTTGCAAATTGATTTCCCCATGAGAACAGTGTGATGTATCTCACAACACCTCTCTGCCTTTGGTTCCCTTTTGGGGAAAATGAAATAAAACTATTAAAATGTACATTGGTATCCTTCTTATAAAACAGATTTAAAAGGAACTTGTGCTTGTTTCCTGAAGTCACTTTTTATAAAGACATATTTCTCCTTAGGACACGTTCTGTATGTGCTGCCTGAGGATGTTTGGGTGTTTCATGGGAGCCACCTGGACAGAAAGGGAGTCCTGTGCTGTATTTGCTGCTTAAAATGGGCTGAGCCATTGCAGTTTCCTTTTAAGAAAGGCACTTGCTGTTCCTTTGTGGAATCATTTGCTTTGACACTGTATCAGAACCTCCATAACCTGGACTCCTTCTGTCTCTCACTGGTCTCAGGTTGTGCCTGAGTGTGGGCAGAGGCAGGAGGGAACCCCCATCCCCTGCAGACTCCTCTGAGCCATTCTCAATATTTTGAGTGCCTAACTAACTCTGTGAGAAGCAGAATCTGAAGCCTGATTTTTATGTGTCTAATAAGGTATAAGCTCTTCCCATGCCATTGAGTCTCAGTGTCTTTCTTCCCTGGGGATTCTCTGGTCTATAAGAACAGAAGGGGTGCCCTGACCCTCCTGTCATACAGTCCAGTAGGAGTTTTGTTCTGAGGCCTTTGCCTCTCAGCTTCCACTCAAAGGGCCAACAAGTTAAACCCAACAGTGCAGCTTTGAAAACCCACCAAGAAGAACAAGGCACAAACCCAGGCATCCATACTTGGACAAAAGTGGATGCCAAACATCTGCAAACGTGTGTGTGTTCAGGGTGTCAGGAGCAATCAGCACACTGAACTGAAGGCTGCTTAGCCTGGGCTCACAGAGGTGCTGCTGGGGTTTGTGTGTGCTCCAGTGGGAGCTGGAATCCTGTGCCACAGGGGGGCTTTAGCGAGGTCAGAGGGATTTAAATTAATCCAGGAAAAATGAGGCTGACATTAGTACTGACCCTGAACTGAAACATCTAAAGGTGTCTGTGTCATTGTAAGTGCCAAAGGATGGATGGGTCAGTGCCCTGTTCCTGCTGGAGCTCATGTGTGGTTTGGGTAAAACCATCTTTGATTTGCAGTTATCAGTGCTTTTTCAAGGAGTGTGAGAAGGGAAGGATGGGAGGATAAGTGGCATTGTCTCTACGTGTAGAGATTCACTTACCTGAGTTTCCCACAGCACAGATGGACAGAAAAAAGGCACTGTGTCCCTTACAGATTGCTTGAGAAGTGGGAAGGTTGTTCCTCTTGGCTGGACTGGTTCTTCCTCCTCCATCCTCAGCTTGGATGCAGCCTGAGCTGGCTGGGCATGGTGCTGCTGCATGGCAGCTGGAGCCTGGGACCAGCCCGAGGGGCAGGACTGGCACAGGGATGGTGTGGTTGTGCAGCAGCATTGCAGCACCCTCACTCACCGTGTGCAGGGTGGGCTGGGCAAGAAATACTGACTGAAGGAATCCCTAGGAAGAGGCTGGAGAGGATCTGAGAGTGCACAAGGGAGAAGGTTTGAGGGACCTCAGCAAAGTCCCGCTGGTGCTCATGGCTTCGTTGCTTTTCTGCTTAACCACTGTCATCTTTCCTAATAAAATTCTGAAGGCTCGCTCTGTGGTGTGTCTTTATACAAGGATTGTGTTTGCTGCAGGAATTGTGCCAAAAACCTCTGACCAGTCACAGCAACTGCTCAGGATGGAAACTGCTGGACTCTAAAGCAGCATTGAGCTCTAGTTTTGAGGTGCAGCACCACTTGTTTTCTCTGCTGTTGTGAAGAAACTAAACTAATGGTCATAGAGGTGACTGGCACCATGTTAGGAAACATAAACTAAGGAAAAGCAAAGGATAGACTGTGGGGGACTGCACAACCGAGAGCACATCCATCGCTGCCTTGGTGCCTGGCACACGTATCCCCCTCAGGACTGTGGGGATGAACTGGCCACGTTCACTCCCTGAGGGGAGCAGCGCAGCTCCGACCTCACGGACCGTGTTTGACCAGCGAACCGCCCAGCTCGGACCCTGCAATGAGACTTCATGCACATTCATCAGTATTGTTCTGTTTTTGAATGAAAAAATAAACTCAAGTAATGTAGCATCCCGCCTGGCTTCCCCGTCTTTACCCGGGCAGCGCCGGTACCGGCTCAGCCCGAGGGGCTCGGTCCCCGCCCAGCCTCGAACGCGGCACTTGGGGCTCCACANCAACAGTACTGGGCTGTATGCATTTACATACAGCCTATAAGAATCATGACATTACCACACTGTGTTACATTTTAAACCCTAAAAACTCCTCTTTGGGCCCCTTCTGCCAAGCTGGCAGGGTCTGCTCTGACCCTTGGGCCTGTCTGCAAGCAGAGGGTGTTGTTCCATCAATAGGGGATCACCTTCAGCTGGCCACACCATTGTTTTCCAGTTGTTCAATAACTGAGGCATCTCAAAGCTTGCCTTCGTTTCAATCTCACTTATAGTTTCCATATTCTCAAAATCTTTTGCTAGACAATCATATTTATAAAAGACTTTCCTATTTTATCTTCCCCATCAACAAAGCACAGAGTTAGAAAATGTAAAATCTTTGTAAAAAGCCTGTGTTTGGCGTTTGCTGTGGCAGCTGGACCCGCATCCCCACGGAGCACCTGCTGCGGGGCTCGCCGCCCCCGCCCCAGCGCCGCTACGGGCACACCATGGTGGCCTTCGACCGGCACCTCTACGTGTTTGGCGGCGCTGCCGACAACACCCTGCCCAACGAGCTGCACTGCTATGATGTGGATTCCCAGACCTGGGAGGTCATCCAGCCCAGCCCAGACAGTGAGGTAAAACCTTCAGCTTGTGGTTTTTCCTTTGTGCTCCTTCTTTGTTGACTCATCTTTGCCGTGGACGCTTTTTGACAAGAGCGTTGGGTTTTAGCTGAATAGTTACGACTCCTTCCCACTGATGGTTAATCAGCTCAAATATTGTGGGTAGCAGTCCTTAAAAATTAGTCGGTGTTGACACATCTAAAACTTCTCCTAACACATTTTAAAGAAATACCATGAAACACTTTGATATGTGTTTCAATCATTTGTTCAGTCAAAAGCTGGACAATTAATTCAGTGTGTACCAGTGGTTCTTTGGTTGGCTGTGTGATCCTCTTGAAGCAGAATTCAAAACTAGACAAGGTTTGATTTGAAGGACACTGTAATGCCCATGTGCATAAAATCTTATAAATTCTGATTATACATAGAGGTGTGGCTGGCAAATAGTAATATGGAGGCTCAGAAAGGGCTGTTTTAACATACTTTCATTAATAAGAGATACAAATTTAAAAATGTCTGTTTTTACATGGACATCAAAAGGCTGTGGGCCACCAAGCGCCAAGGAAACAGTACAAATGAGACAATATTTAAAAAAAAGAAAGATTAACATTTTCAATCTATTTCTTTTGCTACTTGTACTCATGCAAGGCAGTGGTTGTGTGATGAAATGTCTGTTTTTTTCTCAAAGCACACTCACAGATCCTGTCTGGGATCAGCTTGTATTCCAGGTGGAAGTGCCAAGGGCTCACCTGGTTTCAGTGCATATTTCAGGTCATGTAAGTGAGGATCATTTCATCCCAGGATGCACAAGCAGTTGTTCCCTGACGCCCATACCAGTGTGTGTAATTCCTGGCTTTGGAACAGCAGCACTCATTGTGTTTATTAATGTGAATAGATTTTACCTTAAGCCATGTGAAGGCACTGCAGCTGAGGTCACAGTGGGTGTAGGGTATGAGCTGCTCTGCAGGAGGAGATGCTGTGTCTGTGTGTGTNGGGAGCGGAGCAGGGTCACCTCTGTTCCTGCAGCCTGTGGGAGGGCAGAGGGACAGGGTGTGCTGCGCCCCTCGGGCCAGGGAAGGTGCCAGGGCTCCTCACACCTTTCTTGGCTCCTTTGCTCTGCAGTAGGCAGTCTGCCTTATCTCACCTGTCTCACTTTCCAGCTCTGCCAAATAGATTTCAGCAGCAGCATATTTGTAACCATTTCTATTATATTGCTGTTCCATAAAATCTTAGTACAATCAACTCTCCAAAACCAGGGATACACTTGGGAACAAAATAATAACTTCTAACAGTTGTTTCATTTCTGAGTCTGCACAGTAGCTCTGGGTGCCCAAGGTACAACCAGAGTGTTTGACTGCTGCTGTTGTAACCCGTGCAGGGCTTTCACGACGGGGACGCCGCCGGCACCACGGTACCACCACTCGGCCGTGGTCTACGGGAGCAGCATGTTTGTGTTTGGTAAGGCAGCAGCAGGTTGTACTGCAGGTGGGGGATGTGCTGCTGTACTGGTTTGGAAAAAGTGAGAGATCTTTAGGAGGTGTCAAAGATCTCATTCAGTAGCAAATCCAGTATTTTTCATGGCTGTGATTTCAACTTTAGTTTGGAAAGATGGCGCTGTTTTGTTGAAAGACAACTTGAAGCTCATTACCATAATGATTCCTTAGGAGAAGGAGTGAAAGAGAAGTCTCCTTCTGTAGTAGTCCATTAGCCAAACATTTTATGCAATCTAAAACTTCTCCTAATGCTACGCCTGGGAGTGTGTGTGCTCCATAGCCTGGGAGTCTAATGGAATTCTTGTTGTCCAGGTGGTTATACTGGAGATATCTATTCCAATTCTAACCTGAAGAATAAAAACGACCTCTTTGAGTATAAGTTTGCAACCGGGCAGTGGACAGAGTGGAAGACTGAGGGAAGGTAAGAGCTGGTATCATTGCCTCATGCTTGGGGGGAGTGAGGGTAGCTTGGCATCATTTCTCATGGTCAGACCCAGTTACAGTGCTGATGTTAGGGCTGCAGCATGACTGCTGCTCTGCTTTCTCAATTAACTTTTTTGGTTCTACAGGAGTTTTTTTGGAAGGCCTTTTTCCAGAATGCACTATAATAGAAATTTATTCAAAATCCCCTCTTCATGTTTCAGGTCCATGACAGAAGGAATGGGAGCAAAGGGAGCTGGGGTTTTTTCTGAATTGTTTCGGTTTCAAGGTTAGCTTGTAAATTGTGGATCCCTTATGAAGAAAAGGGTTCCTGAGATTCAGTGTATAAGGAAAATCAAAATCACTAACACATTCCCAAAGTTGACTCTGCATGTTTCAGAATGCCATTTCTAACAGTGATTGTGATCCAACTCTTAGTGTTTTTTACAAGGGCCTGAAGAGGATAAGAGGGAATGGCCTCATACTGGCAGAGCAGGGTTAGATGGGATATTGGGAGGGAAGTCTTGGCTGTGTGGTTGGTGAGGCCCTGGCACAGGTGCCCAGAGCTGCTGTGGCTGCCCCTGGATCCCTGGCAGTGCCCAAAGCCAGGTTGGATGGGGCTTGGAGCAGCCTGGGACAGTGGAAGGTGTCCCTGCCATGGCAGGGGTGGGACTGGATGGGCTTTGAGGTCTCTTTCTGCCCCAAACATTTCTGTGTTTACCACTCCCCAGTAAGGGTTGTGTGGTGTCTTTACCTGCAGTCTCGTGTACTACTAAAGCTTCTGGAATGCTGATTTCAGTGGGGAGAGGGAAGGGAGCATTTGTTATTGTGATTTGTGGAGAGGGATAAGGAATGTCCCATCCATTCTTGTGTTACTGTTGCTCACCTCTGATGAGCACATTGTATTTCAGAACAGAGACTTTATTAGTAATTTCTCTCTCTGGTTAATTCTGGTAACTTGGGACATTTTGGAGAGCAATTCTTACTCAGTTTGCAAACTCACATTTTGCTTGTTGCTCCCCAGAGTTAGTGTTCATCTTTCACAATCACCTCAGACAAGCCAACAGATGCCTTGTGGCATCACAGGTTTGTTCAACCTGGATGATTTAGTTAAAACAACAAAGATTGTGGAAGAGGAATCATAGCTTTGATCTTTCATTGTGGGCACTACATCTTGGGAACAGCCCTGAGTTATCCTGAGCTCTGTCCTGGTCTTGTTTCTTTGTTTCTCCTGCTTAGTCTGTGGGAACACGTGTGGGATGTTCAGAGCCAGAGTTGATTGCCACCTTGCTCTACCAGTGGTGCTGTGAATTTCCCCATTATTTAACTACTTTATGCAAAATACTCTGAGAGTATTTGAGTCCTGACAAGGAATTAGGTGGGATTTTTCTATTTTTTTTTCCTGTCTGCATTAAGGCAGTTTCTCTCCATTAAAGACAGCAGAGTGAAAACTAATACATGCCTTCAGAGGCTCACTCAGTGTCTGGAGGGCACATGGCAGAAACAGTTTTTTGTAGGGGACTTTCTTCTTCTTTTTACATGTGCATTTTAGCTCTTAGATCCTTCTGCAGATTGTTATGTGCATTTTCTTCCTTGCAGGTTGCCAGTGGCCAGGTCAGCTCATGGTGCAACAGTGTACAGTGACAAGCTGTGGATCTTTGCTGGATATGATGGCAATGCACGGTATGGGGCACTGTCACCCTCTCCTTGACTGCTTTTGGGAAATCCCAGCCCATCAGTTTCCACCTTTGTAGAGACATTTCCATGTTCCAAGAGGTTTAAACACTCAACTGCAGCTTTGCAAACCCAGTCTGTTGTTGAGCATTGCACTTTTGCAGTTCACTGGTTCATGCTCACATAAGTGTGTGCTTAAAGCCTAAAGATCTGGTTACTCAGAGTGGCTGTGGATGTGTGATTTGACAGCATGCTTGGTTGTAAGGCTGCAAAATGATCTTTGGAATTTGGCAAATGCACATTTCTTGAAAGATCCCCAGCACAGGCCAGCTGATGTTGCTGAATACTTAGAGAGCAAAGCCTGGATTTGCTATGAAATCATCTGACACAACTAAGAGCAATGTGTCAGTTTTCTCTCAGAAATCTCTGGAAATATGTAATATTTAGGTTGAAGGGAGATGGGATTTCGTGTGGGGAAAGACTGTAAAGGAGTGATGGTGAGATGTTATAGAGACCTTGGTGCTTTGTCTCACAGTGGCTCCTTGCATTTGCTGTTGGTCTGTCAGGGAACAGTCAGTTCTGGACATGCCATTTTTTTCTGTCATGATGAACTTGAGGAGTAATTTATTTTGATATACAATATTTGCATCATGAGAGAGCACAGAGATTTTCACAAATGAGGAACTGGGTTGCCTCCTCTTTTGAGAAGAATCTTCAGAAACAGCTGAAGCTTTGTGTGCAGCTCCACAAAGTCTCTGGGAGCACTGCTGATAACCAGAATTCAGATGGGATGTCTTTGTTATCTCTGGAGGAGGAATTGGTATAAGATGCACGACTGTGGGATTGTTCAGTGCCAGCTTAGGGAGTCCCCCCAGGCCTTAGGTTGCTGTAAGGAAGGAGGGGTGAGAGGAGCTGTCTGATTTATGTTAAATATGTCAAATCACTTTAAAAAAAAGTCTTTTTATGGAACTCGAGCCTCCAGGCAGATTTGAACAAAGGAAACATCTGTATTTACTGTGAGTAGCTTGTTCTGGGAACAGCACAGTCAGAGATGTGTCAGGTTACCTGCTTCATCCTCCTTTCTGTATTTAAGGAAGGATTCAGCCATGTAAATAATTGTTGTGGTCAGTCTCAGTAGTTAACAGGGATGAGCAGAAGGAGCAGGGTAAAAAGGGGTATTTTGTAAAAATCCTGAAGATTAGATAGCTCAAATCCTTAAGCTCCAGACTGTAGCTGTTAACTGCAGGGTACTTGTAACTAGAAAGATGCTGAAGCAAGCTGGGGTGGGGCTGTAAGATTTAGGTATAGGACAAAGGGATTCTAATAATTGTTTTTCTATCAGTGGAAGTAGGAGTCTCTTCCTGTGCAGGAGGAATGTTGATGAAATAGGATTTCTGCCCTTTTAACACTGTTACAAAAAATGAATTGTTTCAAATCAAGCATTTTTTGTGTTATGGCACAGATTAAATGACATGTGGACAATAGGCCTGCAGGACAGAGAGCTGACCTGCTGGGAAGAGGTAAGAAGCTTTAATTTCAACTAACACATAAAATTCTCTTTTTTGGCTTATTGCATCATTATTTAAAATTTCCCATGCTAGACTGCACTGCTCTTTCTCCAGAATGTGTTTTTGATCCACAGTGAAAAGAAGCAGTTCAGATTTTATTTGGTTTGGGTATTTGGAAAACCAAGTGTGTATGAAAGGGTGATTTTTTTGCTTGTGAATCTGTGAACTGGACTTGGACTTCCCTTGGGGGATTTGCTGTGCTGGGACTGCGTTTCCACTCTGAGCACTGCATTTCCACTCTGAGCACTGACACAGACTGGGAGCTTTGCTGGCCAGCTCACCAAAGTCCTGATCCTTGCAGTACTGGGAGCTTTCAAAACATGGCCTCCCAGTCTTTTTATCCAGGGAAAATCAGACCTGTAAGCACAGCAGGAGTTGATTACCTGTTGATTACCAGATTTACAGTGCCCAGGCCATGTGCTCACCCTGGCTGCACCTGTGCCCCATGGCCTGCAGCATCCTCAGCATCTGGACATGTGCATTGTAGCAATACATTTCTCATTCTGAACTTCATTTCCTTTCAGATTGAACAAAGCGGTGAAATTCCTCCTTCCTGCTGTAATTTTCCCGTGGCGGTTTGCAAAGACAAGATGTTTGTTTTCTCTGGCCAGAGTGGAGCAAAGATTACCAATAATCTCTTCCAGTTTGAATTCAAGGAAAAGATGTAAGTATAGACAGTTAAGTCGTGCAAAATCCTCATAATCCTTGACTGCCTGAGTTGTGCAATGTAATACTTGAGGGCACTGAGGGAGAGCACTGTGTGTCCTGGGGATGAAGTGTGGGAGTGAGGGGGGTAGGATGGTGGGGATGGATGGACATGAGAGATCTCTGCAGCCAGGGCTGGAACTTGTAGTTTATTACAAAGGGCCTGGGTGCAGGGCCCTGCTGGGAGCTGCCAGCCACAGCTGGAGCAGGACTGAGAGAGGAGAGGGGCAGAGAGGATGAGAGAGAGAGAGAGTAAAAGGGTAAGGAGTAAAAGCATAAGAGCGTAGAAGGGTAAGAGAGCAAGGTTCCCATTACAATACAATAAATCTTCATCTGTGCTGAATATTCTAATTCTCACTGACCAATCTCGTACTGTGGGAACTCAGCGCATCACTCTGGATGTCCAGAGTTACCGAGAACCCTTGGGCTCGGAAATCCTGGAATGTTGCCAGGAGCACCTGGTGGCTTGACTTTGACCTCTCTAGGGATGTGCCACCTGTTTGAGGCCATGAGAGTCACTTGGGAATGAATGGTG